GACTCAACGCAAGACTAAGAACAGTCCGGATTGTTGCAGGTTTGACAACGGGACTAAACGTTTCGTCATAGTCCACACCAACTTCTTGTGATTTACCATTAACAACCAAACGAGCTTTGTATCGCTCAAGAGACCCATCGGAATTAAATTTATGTCGAAAAATCCAATGGCAACCAATTACATTGTTATCCTGTGGACGAGGAACCAAATCCCATGTATTTTGTTTAAGTAAAGCATTAAATTCATTGGTCATAGCACAATTCCAATTTTGGTCAAGTAGGGCTGCCTTTGGAGAAATAGGAATACGAGAAATAGAACTAGAGTGAAGGGCATATTTGGGATTTGGTTTACGTATCCCACTTTGAGATCGTGTATGCATAGGAGGGACACGAGTTGGTGGTGGTGGTGGTGGTGATGGTGGTGTTGGAGGTGGAGGTGGTGGTGGTGGAAGAGATGGAGGTCCACGAGGGATGGTTGGTAAGGATTGAGAGGGAGGAACAGTGGCACTAGTATTGTGGTTGGTACTAGTGGTAGGAGGCTGTTGAGAATGATAGGATAAATAAGGAGAAGGTGGTATATCATTTAGAAAGTCATACGAAGAAGGAGGATAAGGAGATCGATTTTGATAAGGGAAGGTTTGTTCATTGAAGGTGACATGGCGTGAAATTATAGGTTTGTTATCGGAGAGAGTATGACATAGGTAACCACGGTGATTAGGTGGATACCCAAGGAAGATAGAGGGTATCGATCTTGGGGTTAATTTGTTTGGTGTAGTAGAGGAAATATTAGGATAACAAAGACACCCAAAAGTACGAAGATGAGAGTATGTGGGCTTGCGTAAGTAAAGAATTTTTGTAGGTGTTTTGTTTTTGATGGCAGTAGAAGGTAAGATGTTGATTAGGTATGTGGCAACAGAGAGAGCATGGTGCCAAAAGGAAGGAGGTAGAGAAGCTTGAAGAAGATTTGTTCGAATCATGTTATTAATTGTGCGAATGATTCGTTCAGCTTTGCCATTTTGAGGCGAGGTATAAGGACAAGTGAACCGAAATTGAGTACCAGTTTTAATGAAAAACTGAGTAAACATATAGTTATTGAATTCTCTACCATTGTCACATTGAAGGTTTTTGATGGTTTTATGAAACTGGGTTTGAATAAACGTGTGAAACTGTTGATAAATTGAGAAGACTTGAGATTTTGATTGTAAGGGATACGTCCATGTAAACTGAGAGAAATCATCAAGCAACACTAAATAATATTTATGACCAAGTTTAGAAGCAACAGGAGATGTCCATAAATCAGCATGTATTATATCAAACGGAGCAAAAGTAAAAGTTTGAGATGGAGAGAAAGGTAAACGACAATGTTTTCCTAAAGAACAAGCATTACAAGAGTAATCAAATTTAACACCAGAATTTGAAAAACTAGTCCTAAGCAAATTGAAAACAGAATTCCCGGGATGACCAAAGCGGTTGTGCCAAGTTGAAGAAGAAACAGCATGAAGAGATAAAGAAGAAGGCTCGTTGTTGACATTGGCGAGAGTGAAGGGATAAAGATCACCGGTACTATTGTGCCTCGTAAGAACCTTCTTCGTGATAAAATCCTTCACAAAAAAACCGAAAGGGTCAAATTCTATGGAAACCCAATTATCCCGAGTAAATTTTCTTACGGAAACCAAATTTTTAATAATTTGGGGAACATGGAAAACATTATGGAGAGAGTAAGAACGATTAGGGAAAGAGAGGATGGTAAAACCTTGACCAGTGCTAGGAATATTTGTGCCATTACCAACTAAAATAGAATGCGGATTACTCAAAGAGATATAATGGGAAAGATTACCTGAGTTGTTGGTGAGATGAGAAGTCGACCCGGTGTCCATATACCAAGAGTTATCTGGTTGGCGAAGATGCATGGTGTTGAAAGCGGTTTCAAGTTGAGTTGGGGTCATTGGTGTACCATGCTCAGCTGTGTAATGGGCTTGGGGGGTAGTAGGATGCTGGGGATGAATTTGAGATGTAGGTGCTGGGCCAAGAAGACCCAATTGAGAAGGGTGTTGGGCCGTAGTAGGATAAGGGCAAGGTGGGATGGCCCATGAAGAAGTAGGGTAAGTCCATGTGTTATACCAAGGGTAAGAGTTGGACCCATAATTGTGAGATGGAGACCCATTGAATCGTCCACGCCCCCTTCCTCTTCCTCCTCGCTGACTTCTACTTCCTCGCTGACTACCGCCACGATTGCCTCCCCTGCCACCACCACGAGTTGGGTTGCTGCCATTATTGAAGTTAAAAGGCTGGTGGTTAGTATCAGAGGAGGAAGCTGACACTTTTGGAGCGGCAGAGCTGGTGATTAGGGCTTGCGGTGTGTGAGAAGACTGATTGTTGCGGCGAGTTTCTTCAAGAATTAACTGAGAGCAGGCTTTGTTGAAGCTTGGTAAAGGTTCGGTTTGTTGAATGAGGGTTGCTATAGTATCATAATCACCTTTAGTCAAACCTGCGATAAGTTGTAACACCATTTTAGTTTCAGAGATAGGGTTACCCACATTGGCGAGTTGATCAGCGAGATTCTTGAGGCGAGAGGAATAATCAGTAAGATTGGAGAAAGAGTCAGAACGTGTGGTGTTGAACTGCTCTTCTAAATACACTGCTCGAGTGGCTTTATTGTCTTGAAAAATTTCTTCAAGACGATTCCAGAGTTCAAGGGCAGAAGCACCCGGTTTCAGGATCGTTTGTCTAAGATCAGGTGAGATTGTGGCGAAAATCCATTGTTTGACAATGGCATCTAGTCGCAGCCATGTAGAATCGTCAACGTCAGCGGGTCGTTTGGCTTGTGGATTGATGTGATCGAGAACATTATATGCACAGGCATGGATATTGAACAACTCCATCCATGATGGATAATGTCCATCAGTTCGATCGAGGATAATAGGTATGGAATTTTTGATGTTATTAACACCAAAAGCAGGGTAGAAAGATGGAGATGATTTTGAAGAAGAAGAATCTTCAGATCCTGGCATTGACTGATGTTGAAGAAGAGGAAGGCAACGATTAAGGAAGATGCGCCGTAGGTAAGAAAAGAATAGGGTTTAAGATGTATTAGGGCTCTGATACCATAATACAGAGTGAAATAATGCTCTCCTTCTCTTTGAATATTAAGAGTATATTTATACAAAAACAAAGGGATCAATGCCTAAAATAGAATACAATCAACACTAAAATAATATCGGCTAATAATAATCTAGTATATTTTATATATAAAAAAAAATCTGGTGTTCATTGTCATTCTATGACTAGAGTTCTTTAATAATTGATGTAAAATAGCTTCTTTGATTGCGCTTAGAAAAGAATTGGGGATGCCTTCAACAATAAAATGAAATAATTATTGATTGCATTAAAAAGAAAAGAATTGGGGATGCCTTCAACAATAAAATGAAATAATTATTGATTGCATTAAAAATTTAACTATGGTCGTTGTTCATAAAATTTTAGTGCAATGAAGAAGCTTTCGGTGCTACTGTTTTCTCGAGTTTGGATAATACAAATATACATCAACTAAAATGCTATTTAATGTTGATATTTATAATTCAAGATAAAAATGCTTGAGAAGCAAAAAAAAAGTTAGATATTTTAGTAAAAAAAAGGTTATCATTGTTCCTCAAAACTTGATTTAATTTTGGGTGATGAATAATGCACAAAATGTAGATGTTGATAACGTGGGAGTAAGGGGTGTTTGGATAAATAGTTTTTAGCTTATTGCTTATTTGCTTATTGCTGTGGGAATAAGCATTTGTTTAAAATGTGTTTGGATTAGCTTATTGCGTTGGGAATAAACAATAAACAATAAGCATTTTAAGTGTTTGGCAAACAAAACAGCTTATATGAGTAAAATGACCAATAAACAATAAGTAATAAACAATAAGCATTTTTCCCCCTTGCTTATTAAAATCAACTTATTTGGCTTATTCCTACCGCAATAAGCTGATTTTTAACGACTCCTATCCAAACACTTAAATTTGCTTATTGCGGTGGGATTAAGCAATAAGCAATAAGCAGCCTATTTTTTTCCTATCAAAACACCCCTAAATAATTGTGAATTATTTCACCTATTGCAGTAAAAAAAAATTAATGTTGTTGTTCTTCAAACATTGATATAACTTGAGTTTTTTTTTTCTTCACAAATGATTCCTTTTGATTTAGATAGAGATTTTAGGGTATTTTTATCAGTTAATTTTAAGGTAATTTAAGTTATTTTGTATTAAGGACATAGTAATTTTTGTTGTGTTTTGTTTTAATCATACCAAAAGCTACAAAAATAATTTGTCCACATCCAGTTTAGTCTCATCTTGTTCATACTTCAAACAATGCCTAATGTATGATTTGTATTTTGTGGTTGCATATTTAACTGTCATTCAAATCTTGTTCATCTTGTTCATACTTTTACGAGTACTATGACTTTCGAATGTATGTGTTGACCTATGTGATATTAACTTCATGAATGGTAAAACTAAAACCTTATAATATGACTTGAACTATGATGAGATAGTTTTCCCTATATTCATATATTAATTAATATCTGCATCCAACTGATGATGAACTGAGAATGGTTGTTTTATAAATGTTTGATATGAAAAAGTAATTGAGATCAGTTGCATATTGAACGGGCAATTGTAGGATTATGAAATAATTTCCATATCTTCGGATATCAACCAAATCCAGATGATGAACTCATAATGGTTATTTTAAAAAAATTTCGTATAAAAAGTCAGTGATTATGTGCATATTGACATTCTGGAAATATAATATCTTTACAAAATAACACCTACATATTATACAATACAGTGACCGTTATGGACAAAAACACCCCCTGCGGGTTTTGTACAAAAATTAAGATTCCTAAAAATACCCGCAACCCGTTTTTTACCCAGCGTAGTCTGATAAAACAAAACGAGGCCAATACCACAACTTCTTCCGTTCTTCGTTACATTAGAAATAGGCCAGTCCCTTTTAATGGTGAATCCAAGTAGTCGAAGCTTGGATTTCAAGATTGTTTTGGTGCTTACGGCAAAACCAAATCACGTTGCTTCTTCTGTCGTCTCTCATCCCCTCAACAAGTTCAAAGGTACCTCCATTGCTCATTCCACCCTCATTTCATCATTTTCACAATTTGGCACCAGAATATTTACCCCCAAAACGATTTCAGCTCGGTTTCTTTCAACATCTTCTCCCAATCGTCAAACACTGGTTAATCATCCTCGATCTGTAAGTAAGAAGATTACTAACCTTGATGATGCCATCCAACTGTTCGATGAAATGACTAAGAGGGAACCTCTGCCCTCAGTTTTCAAATTTACCTAGTTGTTGCAAGCCGTTACCAAAATGAAACAATATTCTTGTTCCGTTGACCTTTTTAAACAAATGAATGTTGTTCGTGTTCCTGTGAATGCGTACACTATTAGCATTGTGATCAAGTGCTGCTGCCAAATGCACCGCACAAATGAAGGATTTGCAGTCTTAGGCTATGGCTTCAAACACAATATATTACCAAATGTCTGCACCTTCAGCACCCTCTTAAATGGACTTGTCCTAGAAGATAGAGTTCTCAAAGCTGAAAGGTTATTCAAGAAGCTGATCAAAGAAGCACTTTGTGAACCTAATGCAATTATGTACAGCATTATGATTAAAGGACTTTGCAAATCTGGTAATAATGATACAGCCATTGCTTTGCTTAAACTAATGGATGAAAAGGGTTGTAAACCTAATGTGGTGACATATAACACCATCATTGACAGCCTTTGCAAGGACAAAATGGTAGATGATGCTTTAAACCTCTTCAATGAAATGGTCTTCCACAAAGGCATCCTACCTAATGTTGTAACTTACACATCTTTGATTCATGGCCTTTGTAACTTATGTCGTTGGGATGATGTCTCTAATTTGCTCAAAGAGATGGAGGACGAAAATATTTCTCTAGATGTTTAGACGTATAGTATATTAGTTGATGCACTTTGCAAGGAAGGGAAGGTGGAGGATGCAAATTGTATTATCAACTTAATGATTGAAAGAGGGATTGATCCTAATGTAGTGACTTACAGTTCGCTTATTGATGGGTATTGTTTGCGAGGTGAAATGAGCAAAGCAAACGAAGTTTTAAATTTGATGGGGTCTCAAGGTCTGGTCCTGATGTTGTTACGTATAGTAGTTTATTGAATGGGTATTGCAAGAAACTGAAGATAGAAGAAGCCATGGATTTGTTTCATGAAATAACTAAAAAAGGTGGTATGCAACCGGATGTGATCACTTACAACACCTTGTTACATGGATTGTTTCAAGCTGGACGTTGTGAAGCTACATGCGAACTCTTTAACGAGATGCAAGCACACAAACTGATTCCAAATGAAAGCACATACAGAATAGTCTTGAAGGGTCTATGCAACAACAAACAAGTGGATGAAGCACTGACTTTATTTCATCTGAAAGGGGCGAATAAGATAAAATCGGATATTGCTATATATAATATACTTATTGATGGTGCAAGTAAAAGTGAGAAGTTTGATATTGCAAGGAACCTTTTCAATGAACTAACTGTAAAAGGTTTACCACCTGATATTTGGACATATAATACAATGATCGGTGGTTTTTGTCGGGAAGGATTAGTGAGTGAAGCAAAAGAGTTTTTTCTTAAGATGGAGGAAAGGGGCTGCCAGCCGGATAGTGTGACTTACAATGTTCTTCTCCAAGGAATTTTAAAGAACCAACAACATGATATGGTAGAGATGCTTTTACTGGAAATGGAAGGAAGAGGTTTTTCACTTGATGCTTCAACTGTATCAATGTTACTTGATCATATAAAAGCTAGATCTTTAGATGCTTCTTTGCTTAAGCTGATTGGTAAGCTTGTGCCAAAGGAAGAAGTGGATGCTCCTTGTTTTACTGTGTAGATGTCATCTTGGTTTTCTAAAAGGTGTGGTTTTGGTCATCTTTGGTCTGCAAGTTTGTTATCATTTAGTTATTTCTGTTTGCCAATATCAAGTTCATCATTATTATGGCTTGTTCTTCAAGGTTTCTTTTTACTTTTTTCATCTTGTGCCACATTTATGTTCAACTTCACATTAAAATATGCAGCCTGTTTATGTTACTTTTTGATATCTACTCGATACTTATTTAGTATCAATAACTGTTTCTCGAAATGAAAAGCCTACAGAACCATAAGCTCAAAACAAAATAAGCATTTGGTGTTCCAAGATAATTTTCATATTCGTATTGGTCATTTAAGCATACGTAATAAAATGTATTTAATTCTTTGCATAAAAAAAATACAATATTCCATTGTGAGACGTCAAATTAGTTGCACTTATCATTCTTTCTATTTGCAAAATTTGAAGTTAAACCTTTTCATTTGTATCCACCGAACAGGTTTAAGTATGAAGTTTACATACAAGATAACATAAAACCACTTTTTGGTATTCCCATAACAATATGAATCCTCTGTTTTTGTAACTTCTAAATAACCATTTCGCAAGATCAAACTGTTAGTTTTGGGATCATAGTGACAACAAGGACAAAACAGAGCAATGTTCTCTCGAATAGCATTTGGCATAGGAAAAGAACAACATAAAGTTTTGACCAAGTCAATGGAACTATTTTGTTAGATTTTAGTCCCACCCAAAATGGTGGAACTGGATGGAACAAAATATATTTGACAAAAATGCCCTCGTCTCTCTCGTTTCTTCCATGGTTCATCACTAAATACAATAGATTTTGAAAAACAAAGTTCCTTAATCCTCTACCTCTCACAATAGAAACCAAATCCAACTCCTAGATATTTATTTTATATATAAAAAAAAATCTGGTGTTTCTTGTCATTCTATGACTAGAGTTCTTTAATAATTGCTGTAAAATAGCTTCTTTGATTGCGCTTAGAAAAGAATTGGGGATGCCTTCAACAATAAAATGAAATAATTATTGATTGCATTAAAAATTTAATTATGGTCGTTGTTCATAAAATTTTGGTGCAATGAAGAAGCTTTCGGTTCTACTGTTTTCTCGAGTTTAGATAATACAAAAATGCATCAACTAAAATGCTAGTATTTAATGTTGATGTTTATAATTCAAGATAAAATGCTTGAGAAGCAAAAAAAAAAAAAAAAAAAAAAAGTTTGATATTTTAGTAAAAAAAAGGTTATCATTGTTCCTCAAAATTTGATTTAATTTTGAGTGAGGTATAATGCACAAAATGTAGATGTTGATAACGTGGGAGTAAATAAATGTGAATTAATTCACGTATTGCAGTAAAAAAAATGTTGTTATTCAAACTTTGATTTAACTTGGGTTTATTTATTTTATTATTTTTCCTTCACAAATGATTCCTATTGATTTAGACAAAGATTTTAGGGTATTTTTATCGGTTATTTTTAAGACAAAATTGCAAGAATAGTCCCTGTGGTATGTCAAAACTAGCAACTTTGGTCCAAAATGGGTTTGGCTCGCAAGGATGGTCCAATAGTTTTGTTTTGTTGCGAGTTTAGTCCAATTTCCTATGAACTTTTTTATAATGACGGATTTGCCCTTTTTAGTTTTATTTTCTTAATTCTTTTTATTGCAAAAATCAGAAATAAAAAAGAGAAATAAAAAATACACACCTCATCCCTCCTTCCTCTCTTTCTCTTTCTCTCTCTAACGCATTTTCATTTGACAAGAACACAAGCTGCCGGAAAAATTAGATCAGTTGGAATCTTCTCGTCGGACCGCCACCCTCTGCCACAGTAGTCACCGTCTAGATGGAGTCACCACCCGCTCATCTCTCTTCCTCCCCCGCTTCAGTTTTCAACATGAGAAACCCTAACTCTAGTTCTTTGTTTACAAATTTGTGGTTCATCAGACCACCATCGGCGCCACCCTTTAGATGTTTAGGTCTCGTTAGCCATGAACTCTAAATCTTTTGGATCTCGGTTCTTCTTTTCTATCAGTTCTTCTCTGGTAGCAATGGCGAGCTCAATGTGACGAAGGCTTTCAAATGGGAGGGTTTTTCAGATCGAAGGGTTTTCAAATCGAAGGATCATAGAGGCGAAGATCTGAAGCTAACAAAGAGGGTTTTGGTGTTTCGAGTGCGAGTCCAAGATAGATCTGAAGAATCGGAGGAGCATGGCGGCGGAGATCTTGAGCTTTTCTTGGTGACGATTTAGGGTTTGTTAATTGGCCGTCGTCACCTCCGTACAGATGAAGACAGAGGTTGCAAAGATCCCAGACAGTAACCCATGTTGGAAACCTATTCCAGTGAGAGGTGGCGACTCCGGCTCCAGCGACTCCAACGTCCGGCCGATGACTTTCCAGATCAAGATACCAATAACATCCACCCTCTTCATCGATTTTGTTTTCAGAAATCGATAATCGATTTGGTTTTCATTTTTGTTTTCTGGACGTTTTCAGATTTCTTGTTCATGAGTGTTCTTGTTTCAATTTGAGTGATATGGAAAAAATTGAGTTTGTAGAAAATTGGATTGTTCATGTTTTAGATTGCAGATGTGAAAAAAAATGATTATATTGTTTTTCAAATATGAAAAAAAATTGTTTTTTTGGAGTGGTGGTGGTGGTTTCCGGTAGCAGTGGTGACCGGACTAGTCTTGTAGGGAATAAAGAAAGTGGGGTTACATTTTCTTTTTTCTTTTGTTTAAATTTTAATTAGAACAATAAAAAGAAATTATAAACAAATAGAAAATTAAATAATAAGGGCAAATCCGTCATTATAAAAAAGTTGATAGGAAATTGGATTAAACTCGCAACAAAACGAAACTATTGTACCATCCTTACGAGCCAAACCCATTTTGGACCAAAGTTGCTAGTTTTGACATACCACAGGGACCATTCTTGCAATTTTGTCTATTTTTAAGGTAATTTAAGTTATTTTGTATTAAGGACATAGTAAATGTGGTTGTGTTTTGTTTTAATCATACCAAACCCTACAAAAATAATTTGTCAACATCCACTTTAGTCTCATCTTGTCCATACTTCAAACAATGCCTAAAGTATGATTTGTATTTTGTGTTGCATATTTAAGTGTCATTGGAATCTTTGAATGATCATCAATTTAACTCGGATAAACGTATTATTCAATTTTATTGTGTTTGCATTTCAAACTTTATTTTGCACCTCATATTTATATTACGAGTGCCAATTCCATTATCCATCAATTTCGTCTCTTTTGCTGCATGTATAAGTATGCATATATTAGTAAGTAATTTTACAACTGCTTCAACAAGGGTCTATTCTAACATAAAATTATTACATATTAAGTTACAAACCCTTAAAGTATAAATGAATAAATTCGGTTAAACGCTATAATTTACAATGGCCACACATTAATAGTTAAAGAATTATATTATGTCTGTAGACTATAATTATGAGAATGAACATTTCATTCTAGTAAATTAAATTCAAAATGAAAATATACAACAAAATTCAATTAAGAATTACCTCGATTTGATTGAAAACCTCTTCATAAAAATTATGTGGTCTTGAAATTGATTTTCGGATCTTAGTAACAAAACCTTTTCCGTGGACTCTTGAGCTTGAGCGATTAACTTCCATACTATCACGTTCATATGTGTGTGTGTTGACGTAAAACTAAAACCTTATAATATGACTTGAACTATGATGAGATGACTTTCCCTATATTCAGATACTAATTAATATATGTATCCAATTGATGATGAAGTGAGAATGGTTGCTTTATAAATGTTTGATATGAAAATATAGTTGAGATCAGGTGCATCGGGACATTGTAGTATTACGAGATAATTTCCATATCTTCGGATATTAACCAAATCCAACTGATGATGAACTCATACTGGTTATTTTAAAAATGTTTCGTATAAAAAGTCGGTGATTATGTACAAATTAAACAGGACATTCTGGAAATATAATATCTTTACAAAATAACGCCTACATATTATACAGTTAGACCGTTATGGACAAAAACACCCCTGCAGGTTTTCTACAAAATTAAGATTCCTAAAAAAATACACGCAACCCGTTTTTTTTTTTTTACCCAGCTTAGTCTGATAAAACAAAACGAGTTCAATAATACGAGTTCTTCCGTTCTTCGTTGTAGGCCAGTCCCTTTTAATGGTGAATCCAAGTAGTCGAAGCTCGCATTTGAAGATTGTTTTGGTGCTTACGGCAAAACCAAAACACGTTGTTTCTTCTGTCGTCTCTCATCCCCTCAACAAGTTCAAAGATACATCCATTGCTCATTCCACCCTCATATCGTCATTTTCACAATTTGGCACCGGAATATTTATCCCCAAAACGATTTCAGCTCGGTTTCTTTCAACATCTTCTCCTAATCGTCAAACACTGGTTAATCATTCTCGGTCCATGAGTGAGAAGATTACTAACCTTGATGATGCCCTCCAACTGTTCGATGAAATGACTAAGAGGAAACCTCTGCCCGCAGTTTTCAAATTTACCCAGTTGTTGCAAGCGGTTACCAAAATGAAACAGTATTCTTGTTCGGTTGAGCTTTTTCAACGAATGAATGCTCTTCGTGTTCCTGTGAATGCGTACACTATTAGCATTGTGATCAAGTGCTGCTGCCAAATGCACCGCACAAATGAAGGATTTGCAGTCTTAGGCTATGGCTTCAAACACAATATATTACCAAATGTCTGCACCTTTAGCACCCTTTTAAATGGACTTGTCCTAGAAGATAGAGTTCTCAAAGCCGAAAGGTTATTCAAGAAGCTGATCAAAGAAGCACTTTGTGAACCTAATGCAGTTATGTACAGCATTATGATTAAAGGACTTTGCAAATCTGGTAATAATGATACAGCCATTGCTTTGCTTAAACTAATGGATGAAAAGGGTTGTAAACCTAATGTGGTCACATATAACACCATCATTGACAGCCTTTGCAAGGACAAAATGGTAGATGATGCTTTAAACCTCTTCAAAGAAATGGTTTTCCACAAAGGCATATTACCTGATGTTGTCACTTACACCTCTTTGATTCATGGCCTTTGTAACTTATGTCGTTGGGATGAGGTCTCTAAATTGCTCAAAGAAATGGAGGACGAAAGGATCTCCCTAGATGTTCAGCTCTATAATACATTAGTTGATGCACTTTGCAAGGAAGGTAAGGTGGAGGATGCAAATTGTATTATCAGCTCAATGATAGAGAGAGGGGAGTATCCTAATGTAGTGACTTACAATTCAATCATAGATGGGTACTGTCTGCGAGGTGAAATGAGCAAAGCAAAGGAAATTCTAAATATAATGAGGTTTCAATGTCTGGTTCCTAATATCGTCACTTATAATAATTTATTAAGTGGGTATTGCAAGAAGTTGAAGATAGAAGAGGCCATGCATTTGTTTCATGAAATAACTAAAAAAGGTATGAAACCAAATGTGATCACTTACAGTATCATGATACAGGGATTGTTTCGAGCTAGACGTTGTAAAGCTGCATGTGAACTCTTTAATGAGATGCGAACAAACAAACTGATGCCAAATGAAAGCACTTACACAATAGTCTTGAAGGGTCTATGCAACAACAAACAAGTGGATGAAGCATTATCTTTGTTTGATTTGATGGGTGACAATAAGCTAAATTCGGATATTTTTGTATACAATATACTCATTGATGGTGCAAGTAAAAGTGGGAAGTTTGATATTGCAAGGAACCTTTTTAATGACCTAACTTTTAAAGGTTTGCAACCTAATGTTTGGTCATACACTGTGATGATCAGTAGTTTTTGTCGGGAGGGTCTTGTGGGAGAAGCAAAAGAGTTGTTATTTAAAATGGAAGATAGTGGTTGCCCACCAGACAATGTGACTTACAATGTTCTTCTCCAAGGAGTTCTAAAGAACAAACAATATGATACTGTAGAGATGCTTTTAAAGGAAATGGAAGCAAGAGGTTTCTCAATTGACGCTTCAACTGTAGAAATGTTACTTCATTATATAAAAACTAGTTGTTTAGATGTTTCTTTGTTTAAGTTGATTGGTAAGCTTGTGCCAAAGGAAGGAGTGGATGCTCCTTGTTTTACAGTGTAGATGACATCCTTGGTTTTCAAAAAGGTGTGGTTTTGGCCATCTTTGGTCTGCAAGTTTGTTATCATTTAGTTGTTTTTGTTTGCCAATATCAACTTCACCTTTATTTTGGCTTGTTCTTAAGTGTTGTTTATTTACTTTTTTCATTTTATGTAACATTTATGTTCAGACTTCACATTAAAATATGTAGCCTGTTCATGTAACTTTTTAATATCTACTCAATACTTATTTAGCGTTATCTACCGTTTCTTGAAATGAAATGTCTACAGTATTGAACTTTTGATTATAATTCAATCCTTTAACTACTAGAACCATAAGGTCAGGACACAATAGGCATTTGGTGTTCAAGATAATTAAAACTATTGGTGTTGGTCATTTACACTTAGTTTCAAACGTATTTAATTCTTTGCATAAAAAATTGGTCCAAGTGATAGAAAGTTTTTTACAATCCAAAGGTATTGAGAAAAAAAAAACACATTAGTCATGGCAACACACATGTATTGGATATTGAATTCAAATGTATCAAGATTCATATTTACTAGGAGAACTAGATTATGACCCGCGTAAAACGCGAGGAACATATAAAAATAAACATATAAAGGTATAAAAAAATTGGCACAAAAAAAAATACAAAGTAACAAAAACAGATTTTAACGTTATTGGTAACAATGAAAAGTCTGGAAAAAAAACAATGAAATATATGCATATCTGTAATCATTGAAAGACCTTTTTGTAGACAATAATTTTTGTTTTATTAGTTGGACGGCATTCCTCATAACATATTAGTACATTCAGTAATTTTTTTTACTTAGAATCTATGATTTGGGCTTCAATGACATGTCCTCAAAACAATCTGGTCACTCCGCCTCACATAAAGAATATGAACTCATATATCCCTTCATCTTTCATCAATTATATGAACTCATATGTTTTCCCTTCTATCTTTCATCAATCCTATCACTTAGTTCTCTTTCAACGATTCATTACTTTTGACGATTGGTTAGTAATTTCTTCTCGATGAAAGTTTGTTATTGATTTGATTTAAAATTATAAGTACAATGCAATTTGAGTTTAAAATGAGAATGCATTTTTTTATTTAAGAATTTGTTGTCTTCTGAGTTAAAAGTTAAAATATTTCATTGTTGTCGGTTGCAAAAAAAATGTGTTATTATCTTTAGTTAAAAAATAAAGTTTTAATTAAAAATTATCAAATTTAATTAATCTTATCAGCAATTATCCTTTTTTGATTAACAACTATTATTTTCAATAATTTTTTATTTGACATAAATGAATAATATTAGTTTAAGTTGTAAATTTTATGAAAATCTTTAAATCGTCATTTTTATATAACATTTTTTAATCTAATTTTAAACCTTTTAATAAAAATAACTTACGCGGACTATAAATGACAAATTTACCCTACAAACAAACTTCCCTTCTTTTACAAAAAATCTCATCTTCTCTCCTACTCTAATAAAAGAGTCATTTTTACTGCCACATGTCATTTCCTCAACGTCTCAACAATTCATTTTCCCGCTCACTTTCATTGCAAGTTAAATTACTTTATACCGTTGAGCCATAGAATCTGCATACATCCGGTAAAACTTGAATTACCAATCTAACCATCAACATTAAAGTCTCCATAAATTCCGTTTCAATAATATGATTCCGTTTAACAATGTTGTATTTCAATTCTCCCAACTATAAACACCATAAAAAAATCATATTTTAATAAATGCAATAATGCATCATGTTGTTGACATTTTGTTTAACTATTGTGCGATCTTTATTAATGAAAGACTTTTATACAATTTATTGAAAAATCAATATTATTCCTTTTAATTTTGAAATTATCTTTATCTATTTTCTTACTCTTCCCTGATTATCGAAACCTGACACATCCACACATATGACATGTTTATAGTTTTGAATTTTATTACACTCCATATGTTAATTATGTTTTTAAGTTATAGCATCCTACTTTGATTTTAATCTTGTATGCCAGTGTACTTTCAATCTTTCATTTATTTCCATGTAACCTGTGATGACATTGTATTTTCATTGTTAATCTAGAATGGTAGCTGAAGAGAATAAATCTCAGATCGATTAGATCTTTCACAGGTAAAAGATGAAGATCAAACAAAACAAACACAATAATATTAAGAACACAGAACAGAATCAACGTTATGCTTATGATTCAAATATAGTCACGCCTCAGCAGAGCTCTATGAAGAACTTCCACTGTAGAGGCGAGCTAGGGTTTACAATCCTCAATCAGAATCAATAAAAGCTTTTTTACAAAGGCTGCATGCATGCAGCTTAAATACTAAACCCTAGTGAAAACATGCACGGTTGGACAGACCCGAACCGGCAATCAAAACTGGGCTAAGGACCGAGCCCATGACGCAACACTATAAGCCCAACAATCTCCCCCTTTGCGTCAAATGAGGCGAGAGATCATTTTCTTTGAGTAGGCTTCCCAGTCTTGACAACCTTGAACAACCGAGGGATGATTGCAAGAAGTGTTTGCCGAAACTGAATGTACCATCGTAGCATGTCAGTAAACAGCTTCTTGTCGGTTGCAGAATTCTGATTGCACTTGTGGATAATCTCCAAAATATGCTCCAAGCAAGCAGTTGAGAATAAGTGCTTATCACACAGAGCGAAGATACACTTTTGCTTTTCGCCTCTGAGGAACATCACTGTGTGAGACTGGGGATCAATTCTACCCTTGACCATAACATTTACATCGCCCATTCTGCCAGAAGGTTTTATCGTTGGACGCTTGTGAATGGCAGAGGCGACCTCTTGGTCCATTTTCGCTACTTCGTGAATGTAGCATACAAGCATTCGCTTGATATGGTCTATGATCGGATGATACTCCTGAGGATTGGACAGCAAAATGTTGTTGAGGAGTATCCAGTCGTGTGGGTTAAGGTTCGGTAGATCAGCCAGGGAAAAGTTGTGAACCGAGCCTTCAGAGCCTCGAGTCACTTTGAATTTCACATTAACAAACTTCCCTGCTGAGTAAGGCTTCAGCACCTTGACAGTAGTAATTTTTTGTAAGCTCCATGTCAGGTACTGTGGTTGAGCAAATTCCAGATAGAACTCCAAAAGATCCCAATCAACCTTCGGGTCTGGAGAGGGAATAGGCACAGTAGAGTTGAAGCAGTGAAAAATGAATGCCTTTCGCGTGATAGACATGTCAAACTGTGCATCCTTGGAGTTTTCAAGCCCAAACGACATCACAGGCTCAAGCCAAAGTGTACTTGGTTCGTCAATAGCACACCTTTAGAGCGAATCAAGAGTCCACTCAGGAAAAATGGACTTCTTCTTTTCCAGGAGCTCTTTTTCTTTCAGCTCTTTTTCAAGCTCAAGCGATTCCTTCCTAAGCTTTTCTTCAAGCTCTTTATCAGATGTCTTCATTTTTTGAAAAGGATTAGAGGGATCTGCTTGAAAATTATCTTCAATGTCATCATCATCAATTTCATCATCTTCTCCAATTTTCTTCTTCTTGTTATCCATTTTGCTGCCCGAAGCTACATTATCCTTCGGTGCAGCAGTTGAGTTAGGTTCGGGAGGAGGTTGAGTTTGGTCCTTTTCCTTTTCCTTTTCTTTCCCTTCTTCTCCCCCTTGTTTCGGCTGAACAGGGGTCACCGAAACACCCTGAATACGACTTAGGATGTCCAGTGCTGGCCTAAGTTTCTCAGCCAAGTGTCTTCGGATAGTAATGGAGAGAATGAGATCATAGGCTTCAATAATGTGAAGCAAAATGGAATGAACGTCACCAACTGAGCTTCGTATTACCTCCCTCTCAGATTTCAAATCGTTGAGTTCAGCTGTGGCAGTGCGAAGCTTGAGGTTCTGCATCTTCAGCTGAGAGGTTCGCTTGTCGAGTTCATCCATGATGCGATTTTCCACAGCAAGTTCTGTTTCCAACTGAGTTAGACGCTCATTCACCTGTGTATGAAGACGTGCGTTGGCACTTTCAATGGCCTTTCGAGCACCCTCAAGATTAGCCCTTTCGGTTTCAAGAGAACTCTGGAGAGTCGCAACCGAGTCATTGACTGTTTTGGCGTTCTTTTGAGCAGCAGCCTGCAAAGAATCTAAGAATAATTGAGCTTCAGAAATTAGTTTTTTGACTTTTTCGGTCGCATCTTTGCATTCTTTGGTAGAAGCCTCAACAGCAAGGGAGGCTTTCTGGCATTGGGAAGTGGATACGTCAATAGCTTTAGCTGCAGCGGTAAGGGAGGCACTTTGTTCTTGAACCACTGAGAAGAACAATGCCTTGAGAGCAGCGTCTGAATAAGCCCCAGAGGAAGAGGAGGAAAGCAGCTTATCAAGTTTGTTGTTGACTGCTTTGAGATGACGCTTGGAAACAGGTTCATCGTCGTCTTCATCACTTTGTACACGGTAAGAACTAAAATAAGTGGAATCAAATTCCAAGTCCTCACCGCCTAGAACTAGGTTGGTGTCAGTAGATGGTGTTGGTGATTGAGGTTCGGTTGTTAGTGGAGGTTCGGTGGTAACAGGGGGTTCGGTTGTGAATGTAGTTTCGGGTGCTGAAGAACGAGCCCCCGTATCAGATACGTTGGTTCGAACTCCAGTAGTGGTGGTAGTAGTGGAATCGGTGAAGATAGGTGTAGGAATGGGAATAGTGGAGGAAGGTTGAGATGTAATCACAGGAAAAATGGGAGGGATGGAGATAGGTACCGAAACTGGTGGAGGAGAGGGAGCATGGGATTGAAAGGGTACCTCTGGTGTGGGCGAACGTGGTGGAGTATTACCACGAACCAAAACCTCATCCTCTGAACTCTCACCTTCAGATTCACTTGGTGGAGTTGGTGGTTGAGTAGGAGGAACATACTCTGAATCAGAATCACTGGATGATTGGAGAATTAACCGGCGAGCAGGTTTCTTAACTTTCTTCGCTTTCGGCTGGGCTGGAGCTGCTTTTTTCAAATTTCGCTTCCGAGGGGTTTGAACTTTGGAGACTTGGCCCC